TTTTTATTTATATTAACGTAGTACCACTTTGACAGATATCTGTAGAAGATGTGAGGGACCGCCAAGACCAGCTTGCTAAGATGCGTAGTCTTCTTTTCCGTCATGAAATGAAGGCAAAACGAGTGAAGAAGATAAAATCGAAAGTGTATCATCGTTTGCTGAAGAAAGATAGATTGAAACAAGCAGGTACTGCAGTTGAAACTGATCCAGAAGCAGCCAAAGAGCAGGCAATGAAACAAGAATTCAAAAGGGCAGAGGTAATTTCTTTCATTACTTGCGTGAACTTACCTAGGAGTCTTTTCTGCTTTTCAGGTTATTTACTGATTGAGTTTGTCTCTTTGGAGACTAAATTTTATGTAGGAACGCATGACTCTGAAGCACAAGAACAGCTCCAAGTGGGCAAAGCGCATCTTACAACGTGGCTTGGATGTGCAAGACGATGGAACTCGAGCTGCTATTACTGAACAACTGAATCAACATGCCCTTTTGACAAGAAAAGCAAATAACATGAAAGAGAGTAGTAGTAGTGAAGAAAGCAGTGATGATGATGACCTTGATGAGACTTCTGATGGATCAGATCAGGACGCTGCAGTGAAACTGTTGAAGAAAGCGAAGGACAAGACCATTGAAGTCTTAGATGGGGATGAAGAATTGCCAGCGTCAGGAGTGCTTTCTTTACCTTTCATGGTAATTTCATCAATCTTTCATTTGCACCACTACTTGCTCTTAATTTTTTGATGTTTGGATTTCATTTATGGTTATGCATCTCAGATTGTTTATGTACCATCTTGAAACACTGTCATTTCACAGGTCCGTGGATTGAAAAGAAGGAAAGAAGCGGCCGATGAAGAAGCAAAGCTTGCTCTAAAAGAGTATGAGTCATCATTGAAGGAATTCGAAGAGAAGAACGAGCCAAAAACTCAAGGAACAAATATTTTGAGTGGTAGGAGAGTTTTTGGAGCTCAAAAAAAGCAGGAACTCGTACCCAAAAAGAAAGTGACATCAGACAATTACTATGGTGACAGTGATAGTGAAGGTGAGAGAGATGCCAGAGAAACTGGCATTACTGCTCGTGAAGAAAATAAATTTCCTGAGAGGGAAGTTCATTTTGATCCCAGTTCACTTCGTGAAGAGTCTGAGATTGGTCATGATTCTCTGTTTAAGGTAATTGCATGGTGAACTTCATCAAATCCTGCAGTACCATCTCATATTGCCCTCTTCTCTGCGTTGTTTGAGGTGATTAAAGTTTGAATTTGTCCTGGGTTTCAGAGTTTTGAGGACATTTCAAGAGAACCATGCTCAAAGACATCATACGAAGTTTCCATTTTTGCAGACGACTCGTGGAAAAAGGTTCAGCTTTTGTTTTCTCAAAAATCTGTTTTCTTACTCCTTTTAGTAAAGTTAGTCTTATTGGTATATTTGGTGAACAGATGAATGATTCTTCAGTTAAAGGGAAGCAGACAAAATCTGCAAATGCAAAAAGTGCAATGGCCTTAAAGATCACAAAACCTGTTGCGAGTGAACCTGATGGGGAGGTAATCTCTCTATATGCTGAATCAACGATGCAACTTTCCCTGACCTGTTTGTTACGAAAGCTTTGCATTTTGCACCCCTAATGTGTGCTCTTTTTTCTGATCTACACCTTGTCCTAATCGATTTGCTCCCTATCTCTTTATTTCCTTGCAAAACAGAAAGACACTTTCTTTCTTGATTATTCTTGAAGGCACAATAAGGAAAATACAACTAAGAAAAAGAAAAAATATGGTGTAAAATAAAATAAAGTTCTCACGTATTAAACCAAAAAAAAATTCTTGTATTTCACCAAAGTTATGTATGCAGAGGACAGTGACAAGAGAAAATGCACCTCGCACTATTTGAGAGAATAGAAATGAAGAGCTTTTTTTCCCCTCCACTATCATGTAAATGGCTGTAAGCTTAAATACGAAATGGTCCCAGTACTTCCAGCAGCTAGAAGTTGAAGATTGTATATCTTCTATGCTTTAGTTTACCATTTCTTACTTTCCCATTTCTTCTATGTAACTTCTCCATATTGCATTTCTTAATTGATGTATCTTACTTTTTCTCTTTCTATTTTCTTTGTGATATGATAAAAGAAAATCTGCCTTATTTTCTGCTTCAACGTAATCAATGTTAAATTAGCAGATTGTAACATCTGCAAAAATAGGGAGAAAATTGGAGCAAGCCCCTTTACAATTGCTTTATTTTGTACTTCAATGTCCATTTTGTAAAATAGGAGAAATGTAAATATATTTTCTGAACTTTTGCAAATCGAGTAGGCCCCTTTGCAATTGCACTTGCTAAAGCACAAAAGGTTTTAAAGCTGTGCAAAAGAATGTGGCATTAGCAAACACCAATTCAACAGAGTGTGAATAATAATTAATGAAAAGAAACAAGACATAGAACTTTAACGAAATGTTGTTTCCTCTTCGACGTTGATTTACATTAGCTTGGTCGGTACCTGATTTGTCTTGTTATGCAAAAAAAAATCCTTAAGAATTGTTTATGGTGAAAGTGCTCAAGAATTTTATCTTGGGACCTCTAGATTTCTTCAGATAGTTTACTGCATATGCTGTCTCCGGCAGATGTGGTTTCCTGCCCAATATGTAATATTGCCTTTTTCCTATCTTGCCCTCGTGGATAATTAAGAAAAGAGTGTTTTAATTATTTTTTATTTTACAAGGAAATAGAGAGATTATGGTGCAAATTAAAAAGGAAAGGCTAGGGTGTAAATAAAAAAAGAGAGCACACATAAGGGGTGCAAAACACAAAGAATTCGCTTGTTATTATTGATTCTTAATTCTGCTTGCAGGAAATTGACGAGGATAATGATACAGATAGTGGAGGAGAAATGGTTGATGGGATTTTATCTGCTGGGACTAAGTCCACATATGAAATCCCATCTCAGGAAGAACTTATTCGGCGTGCTTTTGCTGGTGATGATGTTGAAGACGACTTTGAGAGAGAAAAACAAGATGCCTTGAATGAGGAAGTTCCCGAACCTGAAAAACCCCTTTTACTGCCTGGTTGGGGCCAATGGACCAATATACAAAAGAAGAGGGGGCCACCTTCTTGGATGCTTGCAGAACATGATATTGCCAAAAAGAAAAGGGAAGAAGCTCTCAAGAAGAGAAAAGATGCAAATTTGAATCATGTTATTATCTCCGAAAAGAGGGATAAGAAGGTTGGTCATAGACATATTTCATCCTTAACCTGATTTTATGAATAAACATTCTCGTGATTGATGTCAGTTTAGATTTTAGATGTTGAGGCTAAACCTAAGCTTTACTTATTGTGATTGCAGACTTATGTGCATGCGTGGAAATTTTTTATTGTGTTGCCTTTTCCCTTGGCATTAAATTAGTGAAAATAAAATAATTTTGGTTATAAAAAAAATTAGTGAAATGAAAATCACTTTCTGTTACAGTCAAGGTTAGCAGTTAAAAAGAAGTTGGATTGCTAATCAAACAAAAGTAAAAAAAAAAAAAAAAGAACAGACAATGGCAGAAAGCAGTAGAGGAGAGTTTCAACTTCACCGTCTTTCATTTACAGGAAAGGTTATGGACCTTCTGTCTTTTTGGAAACACTATTCTTAAATTTATGTAGACCACGCTGTCTGTGCTGGAGATTTTCAGACACTCATTGAAACATGCAGTTAGGTTATTTTCATTATTTAGCCACAACAACAAATTCTTCTTCAGGTTCCCTACACCCGTCGCAAGCCTGTTCAACAGATACATGCTTAGACAACTTCTCTGTTCGTTACATATACAGAAGGCTATGTCTTCAGTGTTGCTTGTCTTTGCTCAAATTATACAACTTTTACTGCGATTGACTCAATTTCTAATTTCTATTTTTCCGTGCAGGCTGAGAAGTTACACACGCCGACGTTACCTTATCCCTTTACTTCCCAAGAAGTTTTTGAGCAGAGCATTCGGATGCCCATTGGACCTGAATTCAACCCCGTAACAACAGTTGGAGCTCTTACTCGCCCAGAGGTTCGTCCTCAGTCATACTATCTAACTTTTGTTTTGCCTATCTTTCCATATCCTTGTTGTTTCCAGAAGTATACAATCCTGTATCTGCTGAAATGTTAAAATCCAGTTGGATGAAATATATTCCTTTTCTTAGCCCTTTCCCTTTTTTGGTCATAAGATTTTTCTTTGTTACTTCTCTATTTTAGTGAGAGGAGGGGTTGTTTGTTTGTAGCTGTGATCTGGAGGTGGTTTAGATGTTTTCTTTGCTTGTGTTATAATTCTCACAGGTGGTAAAGAGGAATGGTATTATCATAAAGCCTATCAAATTCGAGGAAGTAAATCTCCATGGAAGATCGGAGGACCACAAACGTGGTGGTATGCAGAAAAAGAAGGGTGGTAAAAGTAAGGGTAACAAACCCACGAAAAAGAAAACCGTGTAGATTGGAAGCTAACTGATTCGCGAGCTTTGACATTTTAAAGAAGGAATACTTCCATTTTGTTCTAGTAGTTACAAGATTCCTTGGTAGATAATCAGTGAATTTTCTCGCCATGTTCTTGTTTTGGCTCTGTAGTTAGGGGAGCCTCTTTTCTGCAGTTTTGGTAGAAGAATTAGCTCCAGTTGCATGCAGTGAAGCCCGGCTAATTATGAAGATGGGAGGCTTTACACTCTACCCATGCAGCAAAAAGAGAATTTTGTTGTGTAGTAAATCTGTAGCACAAATAACAGGATGAAATTGCCTACGAGTACGGTCACCATTACGTATTTAGTCATTTTTTTCCTCCATACGAATTTAATTATTGAGTGTATGATGTTGCTAGCTATGCTTGAATTTGAAAGTATTTGAAGTGTATAATTGGTTCAAGTGAAGCAGATGGTATGCATCAGTTTTGTTTCATTGTGGTAAAGCTTAGATTTGGTTATATTTTTGTTATTATGGCTATCGAGTTTTAAATGGTTATGTGCCCATTATCTCTTCAATGTGCGAAATATTTTTTGAAAATATTTCTGTTATCTGTCTTTGAATAATCAGCCACTGGCAGCTAACTTTAAATTTTTCTGTGCTCGAGTAATAATTAGACAGTTTTTACCTTTTTCTTTAGAAAGAATATCTTTTAAAAAGAATTCAGTGAGAGAGGGTTTCTAACGAATAAGATAAAGGGGAAGGCCCTTTACTGAAGGATTTAAGACCCATAGCCCTTTAATTGTTTGGCTATAGAGTTTTAATTTAGTAATTTCCTTTATGGTATCCAAATTGTTGTTCGAACTGAAATTCCCTATTAATAATATTTTTGAGTGTTTGACTTTCACCATTGACAACCGTTAAAAAGTTTCGAAGTTTTGAATTGATATTCGAGTCTTTTCAAAATATTATTTGTTTAGATCGGGTGTTATTACAAATGACGGGGAATATCTTTAGAGTTTATATCTCAATTTTGAGGTATTTGGTGAGGATTAAGGTTAATTGTGGCTGAATTTTGATATTGAAATTCGAAGTGAAGAAGAACACATGACTAATACATACAAAATACATTTGAAGATTATATGTTTAAAGTTGCATTAAATTTGTATTATAGTTGTATGAAAATGGCATTTAAGTTATATGCATACGAACTGAAACCACATACAAAATACATAAAAGATATATTGTATGTAATTTGTATGCGAATTACATGAAAATTGTATAATATCGTATGAAGTATGACGCACAAATTATTACTGACACACATTTGAAGATGCATCAAAATGGTATTAAAGTTGTATTATAGTTATATAAAAATTGTATGAAAATTATATTTAAGTTGTTAGTTATTGTAGTTGTATTATGAAAGTTGTAAATAAATTATATACTATATAATTAGTTGGAAGAAATTTATATTTTAAGTTGTCAGTTTGTTATAGATACATTAAATTTGTATCGATTTGTATGAATTAAGATGGTATATATGAATTATCTGTATTCTTTAATCCTTACTACATAATTTGCTTCTGAGATAAACTAGAGGTTCTCTAACGCTGAAATATTCTAATTATTTTTCCTTAAAATAAGATTTCCGCAGACAAACTAGAGATATACCACTTCAATATAAAGAGATTTTTACCTTATAAGAAGAAAAAGGTCTAACTGAATCCCATAATTGAAGACGCTTATTATAATTTGAGAACCTTTTAAGAGGAAATATTTATATTTGTAAAGAGAACTCAATTAGATTTAGTAAATAGCTAACTTTAGTTAAAGCGGGTAAATAAATTTATATTATAATAATAATAAGAAAATTATCAATTATGTCACCTATAAGTAATTTAAAATAAAAATTAGCCAGTTCATCAAATATTATCAATAGTAGCCAATTAGCTATTTGTAGTAAAAAAATATCAAAATTTTGCTTTCTTTTGAGTGAATATTGTTCGAATAGATCTGATACATCTTAAGGAGCTTAAATTTCAGTTCTAGAATGATTTGGTAGAGTTTTGAGGTGGTTTGAATTGAAATTTCGAAGTAGAAGATGAACACGGAAAAAAATAATATATGTATCACACAATGTATCATTTGTGTATCACATATGTATCATATTTGTATCAAATGTGTATCACATGTATATACATGTATACTTGTGTGTGATACATGTATCGCAGAAGAATTTTTTGAAATCGAGAAATCGATTTTAACTAGGAATTTTGATACCAAATCAGTCCAAATCACCTCCGATCTTCCTCAAATTTTGTAGATTGACTCATATATATGTTTTCAATGAATTTCATCCATACCTATTGAAAAAAGTCCCTTTTTTGCTTAGATTTTTGGAATCTTTCATATATTGGTTGCTACCTCATCCATAAAATTTTCTTCCCATCTTGCATCTAATGTTGCTGATCACGCTTATAATTTTGGAAGGAGATCTTTGTGTGTGATTCTTGGAGAAAGAATCCTTATTTATTTGGGTTTTTAATTTTTGTACGTGCTACCTAATTTTGGTAAGTCTATTATTTAATGGATAGAGACCGGTAAATTAGAACTTGTTTAACATTTTCGTAAGATTCCCATATTATAATACATATAGGAAAAAAAAAAAAAATTACAAGAAAATACACATGACTTCACACCATAAAAAAAATGGCCCATGTTTTTAAGTTTTACCTAACCTAGCCCATATTGTATATATTTTGAAAGCACTAGCAAATTCAAAATCTGTGTTCTTACAACCATTGCTTCGAAAAGCTATGGAGTTAAATATGTGTTCTCACAACCATCGCTTTTACTCGCTCTTCTTCTCACATCTTCTATATATACTTCAAGGGGTCGTCCGCCATTACTGCTTCTCTTCCCGTGTCACCTGGTTGCAATGTAAGAAAATTGAAGAGTAGAAGTCCACCATTGAAGGCCATTCAAATCTTTGCTTTCGAAAATAGGATTTTTTTAGTTTATTAGTTGTTTGGATTGGGTGTTGTTCCAATTGATTGAAACTATCAAAAGGAGTTCAAAATTTAAATTTGAAGTGATTTGGAGTAGATTTGAGTTAAATTTTTGAAAAGCGCAAGGAAGAAGACGAAGTCAGTTTTTTGTATAATTATATATAATCTTGTATAATAGTGTATATGAGTGTATAACACATCCTATACACTTTTATACACTTTTATACAAGCATCTGTAGACGAAGTTCTTCCATGATTTTCAGTTGCAATTCTCGTTCAAAACCAGTCCAAATCTCCATTAAATGACTTCAAATTTTATATACAACCTCATTATACTATTTCTTACAAGTCTAAATAACACCCACTCCAAAATTCTCACAAAATCAAATTCAGAATATAAACCCACATATTTTCACCACTCAAATAGATTTGGTTTGTTGAACTAATATTTGAGTCATAGTTACTGATTTGAAAATTAACTTAAAAGCTTGAGCAATCTTTTTTAAAAATTAAATAATTTTGAGAACCTATTAGCCTATTATTTTTGGGCTAGTTGATTGTAAATTAAAATATGGGCTATAAAATTGAAAAATAGGGAGCCCAATTGTTCTTATGTGAAATTTTTCCGAAAAAAAATTAATTAAATTTCTTGAAAGTTCCTCCTTTTTTTTTTTTGGGGTGGGGGGTTGGGGGTGGGGGGGGTGGGGGTTTGATTGCGGCCCAAATATTGCTCGTTGTCTTGTTTCTTTATTGAATATTCTTGTTTTGCATCTCACATTACACTCACAAAAGAGCTTAATTTCATGATATGGAAAGAAATGAAGAAAAAACACGAAATAGAAGCGTGGATTAAGGACCTAGAATGCAAGTTATTAAGGTTAATAAATATTTAAAGTGTACACAGACATTAAAAGACAAATAATAAAGGAAGCACAGGTTAATTAAGGATGTAAAATGCAAAATAACTCTCATTAGATTGTACACTATCAAGCACATATATCAAATTATTTTTATGCTCGAGTGTGTTTTTCAATTAGGTCCCTTATAAAACCAAATTACACAATTTAGAAATACACATACAATGGAGACGTCCAAAATAACACTAGCTCCGCTATATATATAATTCCGGCTGACCGCGGACATCGGCTGTGATCGGCGGTGGTGCATTTGGCGGCAATGAGGCGGCAGCCACCGGCACGGGTGGCCGAATATCGGGACACGACGGTGGAGGAGTTGCACCTGAACTACTTTTACAAGAGGGAGCAGAGGGAGGAATTGGTACAAATTTTGGTAACATATGACGAAAATCTTTTATTTCCAATAGTTTTCTAGGAGTATTTGCATGGATTGAAGAATAGCAAAGAGTTGTGAAAAGCAAAACAAGAAGGATTTTCGAAATTGCACTTTGTTTGGTCATTATAAAGTAATATTTAGGACTTATAAATATATGTAGAAGAATGGTTTTACTAGTGAAGGAGCTATATGTTGTATATATAATTCAAGAAATTAAAGAATGTAACAAAATTTGTACAGGTAATTGTTGAGTTGGATTAATTATTTACTGACCTGGTTTTCTGGTGGAAGATAAGATCATTAAAACATTCCTATTTGGACTTATTTCGTAGGTCAAAAGGATTGGGAAGGTGGGGAGTTAATTTATTACTTTTTGCCTTTTTATTCAGGAGAAATAAATTTAGTTATGTAACAGTTGAATGATTAATTGAGTTTACACTGATTAAAACGTTTTATGGTTAAATTTGTTAAAACGTTTTAATTGTTTCAATTTTAATCGTAATCAAACATATTTTCTCTCATTCCTTTCTTTTTCGTTGGATGACTTGAGTAATCTCAGAATGACAACTTAGCACTGCAAATTGTGAATGGCCTTTAATTTGCAAAGAAAACTTAATTAGTTTACTAATCATGGAATAATAAATTGTTACTATCATTCCTCAGAGTTAGAATTTTTAGGTCAAAATAACACCGGCCCGACTTTTTCATGTAAATGAAAACAAAAAGAGTTTGTCATTTGTTTTACTTTCTTCATCTTGCTCAGCAATTTATTGAAGGGATCTTTACCTAAATAGTCGGTCGAATCCTCTATTTCTAGATAGTATACGTAAATTATACAATGATTATACATGATAATATATATATATATATATATATATATATATATATATATATATATATATATATATATAT